TCTTGCCTTGGGCACGATGCCTGAATACACGAACTCACGTCCCCCGCACTCCTGTCACACCACGACACCACATGTGTTGCGCGCGTGTGTGCATCAGACGTTGACACGGGCACGCAGCTGCGCCTCCGCCAGGGCAGTGCGCGCAAGATCAGAATCACCTTCAAGCTGGTGCGTGGTGGTTGTGCAGTGTGCTGTGTATGACTGTATGTGTGTGTGCATGATCTCACATTCTTGCTGTTTTGTTGTCAAACATCAAAACCCCCTCTTACTCACGTGTCAATCCACCACCACTCATCACCACCACTCACCATCATCGCCACCACCACCATCACACAACAGCAAAGCGGGGTGCACGTACCGTTCCTGCATGTCCGCAGCGTTCAGATTGGCAACTTTGCTCTCGTGCCCAAGGTGTGCACGGCATTGGCATGATGTTTGCCTTGAGGCGCGGGCTGACGCTGATTGCGTTGATCGCGTTCCTTGGTTGCATTGCTATCGGCTGTACAGTGCACCCTGACTTTACCGCCTCTGATGGCTCTACACTCACCCACCCACTCACCAACGTCCAACATCACCACCACACACCGTCACCAACCACCCACTGTCCAGAGCGAGTTGTTGCGCGGGAGTTCGCACAACGAGCAAGACCTGACTGCGCTACGCCAGGACTATCTGTCCGCTCTGGAGCAGTCGTATGACTGTGACAAATTGCAGGAGGAGCTGCAGAAGAGCGCACAGGACACTGACGGCGAAATAGACCCAACCGTCTCCATCAAGTGGAAGGCGTTTATGAAGGAGAAGGACGCACTCTTCAATCCGGAACCGCGGTCCGGTCTTCCCGGCGCGGGCGAACTGCATGTTCCTCGCAATCGCATCGGACTGGAGAGCCACCAGGTCGCCGTCTATGTTTCGCACGGGGAGGATGGCGCCCCGCTCCCAGAACCCCTCGAGGTGACATGGCCGTGCAGGGGGGGGGGGAAGGAAAGGTGGTGGTGGTGGTGTGTATGATCGTGCGCGTGTGTCTGTGTGTCTGTGTGTGCTTGACATCATCTGGTGTTGTCTTTACCATTTTTGCACATGCGTTGCTTTCTTCTCTCCTCTCCTCACACACACACCATGTGCTCACATCACACCACATCTACCACCACCGTGGCTGCTTCACAGAATGCGATGGATCTGCCGGTGCAGGAGGAGACGGACGCGGCCTCAGACACGTTCGTGGTCGTGGCAACATGGAGTGCTGACACGGACAACACCATCCTGCATGCGGTGAGGTGCACCGCAGTGCTGACATTGTGTGTCGCCGAGATGCATTGCTTCTCATGGTGACAGCATCTTTGCAATGGCGTGCCTGCACGTCATCCTCCACGCACTCCCACTTACACACACACACTTACCCACACACTTACACACACTTACACTCTCTCACACACACACACACACTCACACTCACACGCACACACACACACACTTACACCCCCTTGCATGCGCTGCGCAGGTGACTGCGGACAAGTTCAAGGCGACGGCGTGTGTGCGTATCACCATTGATGTTGAGGGATCCCCGAATCCGCTCGTCCTCGACAAAGTCATCGCGTTCAAGGTGACAATGCTTTCAGTTGTGCTGACAATGCTTTAGTTGTGGGCACAATGCTTTCATGCATTCTTAGTGGTGATGATGTGTACTTGTAACGCCAGTGTTCTGCATTTGTGGTGATGTTTGTTGAGCTTGGTGTTGGCTGATTGCGTGGCTGTTGTGTGGCTCTCCGCCAGGCAGTGCCTGTTGAACGGATGTGCTTGACATGGAGCAGCATGTTAACACTGCCACAATCACCATTGCCAATCGCTTTCTCCATCAGGTGCACAACCGCAAAGTGTCCTTCAAGCCATCTGGCTGGGAGCGCCTCAAAGAACGTGAGTGTCGGGGAGGGAATACGTGTTGTGCCAACCGCTGCCAGCTGACGATGACTGCTGCTGCTCGTGATGTACAAGCCATCACCACCACCAACAAGCCCAGGCTCTTGTCTCACTCACGTACCCACTCGCTTTGCTCACTCACTTGATGAACTCGCCACAACTGCCACCACCACCACCACCATCATCATCATCATCACCACCGCCATCATCATCATCATCACAGCTGGTCCACGCAATTCGCCCCAGGGCTGCGGGCTCTCACTGCAGATTATCAACGGCTACCCGGAATTCCGCAGTGCTAAAGGTGACCTGACTGTGCAAACGCCATCTCGTGTGTACTGGTGTGCGCAGTGTCCATGCTGTCGATTCTGTTGCCTCTGCTTCCTCCGCCAACCTTCCTGCTTGTTCGCATGACTTTCCATCGCATCATACCATCACGCCGCCTGACCCTCCATGGCATCGTGTGGCATCCGGCCTCGTTCTTGCGACAGGCGCTGCTGTTGATGAGACGGCCTCCGAATCACTGTCGAAGATGCAGGAGACGTGCAGCAACATTGTACGTCGCAACTTCCCGTTGCGTGGGCTG